GGGGGGGGGGGGGGGGTAAAATAGGGGGGGGGGGGGGTGTGGCATAACATAGGTAATTCAGGTGCTTCAATGATCTACAGTTTCATATTTGTATCATCCATCCACATTTCATACTACATGTTCCTTATGCATCTGACACCCTGGCTATGGATTGAACCATTTAGGTTTTCTGCAATGCAGAGATAAGATATAGCAACAATCAGTAAGCCCAAATCAGTTTAAGTTCTTGGAGCACAGTAATTCCATCAAATTTGGAACAAGTTACAGAAGAAATGCCACAATTTAACTAAAGAACATAAATGAAGGGCTACTTATATACCCCATTATTTCTGGGCTTTCTTAGACAACTAAGATCTAAGTTTGGGAACTACATTTAAGCTTAGGAGCAGTGACCAGCATCTAGGTCTGTCCCTGCAGTTGTGTTCCCAGTCTCAAGGTTACGAAACATACTCTATTTTTCTTTTCTGATCCCAATGACATTTGCATGCCTGGTTACACAGTGAGGCAACTTCCAGGCCTTGCAGGAGGCTGTTCTTTCTGTGGCTGCCAACCACTCCTCAGGAGGAAATCAAAGATTTGAAGCCCTGCAGGCTGAAGGAGGCCAGGAACCCAGGTTTCCCGCTCCATAGAAGTATGGCAACCAAAAAAGACACGCAGGGCAACACTACCACCACTTCATATTATCTAGTGATGTTTTAGAGTGTTCTCTCCAGTTAGGCTACACACTTGGAAAAAGATACCAGTTTTGGTTTTTAACTGCTTACATAGGGACCCATAACATCTTCACTCCCACTTCCTAGAATCAGTCTGCAGGAGCAGACTTTGACCTGTTCAGGAATTTATTTGGAAGAATCCCATGTGATACAGTCTTGGTGAGAAGTGGGATCCAGGAGAGCTGGCTGATGGTCAAGGATTACCTCCTGCAAGTTCAAGTCAATCAGATGTAGCAGGAAAGCATGCATGGATGAACATGGGACTCCACACAAAACTCAAACATAAAAAGAAAGCATACATAGGGTAGAAGTAGGGTGGCCAAGATGACACAGCACACTGTACAAGCACACAGGAATGGGGTTAGGAAAGCCTAACTCTACCTGGAATTGAATCTGGGGAGGGATGCGAAAGGCAACAAGAAGGGCTTCTGCAGGTAAAGGAAAACTAGGGGAAACTTCAGCCTACTGCTGAATGAGATGACGGACCTGTTGACAAAGGACACGAAAAAGCCTGAGGTACTTGAGGTTTTCTTCACCTTGGTCTTTACTGACAAGATTCAATTCCTTCATCAGGAATCCCAGGCCCTTGAGACTTGTGGGAAAAATCTTGAAAAACAACAACTTCCCCTTGGTGGAAGAGGACCAGGTTAAGGAACACTGAAACAAACTGAACATACTCAAGGATATGGGGCCTTGTGAGATGCATTCAGATGTTCTGAGGGAGTTGGTTACTGTCATTTGGTTACTGGACACACACTATTATCCTTGAAAGATCATGGAGACTGGGGGGGTGGAATGGTGGTGTGAGGTCTGGGGTGAAAAAAAAAAGCAGACATCACTTCCATCTTCAAGAGAACAAGAAGGAGGATTGAGAGAACCACAGACCAAGGAAGGCAATAGTGCAAATAATCCTAGAAGCCTGTTCCAAGGTGCTGACTGGGAGTAGTCGGTATGGATTTACAGAAGAGAAATAATGCCTAACTAATCTGATAGTCTTTGATAAAATCACTGGTTCAGTGGATGAAGCAGTAGATATTGTTTGCTTTGATTTTAGTGAGGATTTCAGCACCATCTGCTGTAATATATTCATTGACAAACTGATCAGGTACAGACTAGATAAGTGAACAGTGAGGCTGACTGAAAACTGGCTGAACTGCCACACTGAAAGGGTTATGATCAGCAGCGCAAACTCCAGCTGGAGGCCAATCAGTACTGGTGTGTGCAAGAGGTCAACATCGGGGCTAATGCTATTTAACATCTTCATTAATGACCTGGATGATGGGACAGAATGCACCCTTAGCAAGCTTGGAGAAGATACAAAAGTGGGAGGAGCAGCTGATGCACCAGAATATGCGAAGAAGATGCTCACAGAGGTCGTGGAGTGCCCATTCTTGGAGATATTCAAAACCTGACTGGATATGGTCCTGGGTGGCAAACTACTCTGGCTGACTCTGCTCTGAGCAGTGGACTTGGACAAGGTAATCTCCAAAAGTGTCTCCCAACCCCAAGCATTCTGTGATATTTAGGCATTTGCGACATCCAAACTGGAAGTTTCTTTCTCATGTCATTCTAAAAAAATTAAGTTCTTACTACATTGTAGAAACTTAATAATTAGCATTCTATAATGCTGCTGCACAACCAGATCAGCAGCATCTCATCAATGCTTTAATAACACAACTGCTATGGCAAATTCTGTATACTAAACCATCACTGATCTTTTAAAATTAATTACAGCATTCATTTGTACTATCAAACAACTAAGCAAAAATTGACAGAAGGTTATTTCAGATTAATGTTTTTGTTCATTTACTTGCTACCTTTCAAAATTTGAGCATTAATGGGAGCTGGTGATATTCTGCATATTAAAGCATAAAATTTTCTTTCAAATCAATTAACGGTAATGAAAGTTCCTAGTATATTAATAATGTTACAACATATGTTAGCATTTACTACAAAACCCAATTAAGAATAACAATACTGAAATTGTTATTCCCTAAACACTGTAATGAAAGTGTAATGCACAAACTGAGGCAGTTTGTGCATTCATTACACAGGCTACTGAACATTTTTATGCCACATAAAAACAGTTCATATTACTTACTGGTTTGATTTTATTTGGGGAAGTATACATCTTTAACAACATAACACAAGCAATACATAGAACTGTAGGGTGATATACTAGTAATCTAATATATTCCATTCCAATCATAAATACAGATCATAACAGTACATAGTCGATAATATAGTGCCATTTCATTACAAAACCAAATGAAGAGAATAGATAGGTTTTATTTATTAAACACAACAATTTAGGACTGAGTATGTTAGCTAGATCCTACTGAAACATACCTTCATTCTTTACGCTTATATCTTAAGTGCCTTGTTGCTGAATACTTGGAAGTTAGGTGACCTCAAAAGAGTGCCTGTGGAGATGCTATATTCAGATTTCTCCCTATATCTTTTTTTAAAATGTAAGTTTTCCATAGTTAAATTATTTCAGATTTCATTAGTTCAAAAACTAGTACTCTACACAAGATTTCCAGAAAGAACAACAGCTTTTTAAAAGAGAAAAAAACATACTGTGGTTCAACTTTGGGAAATTTTCTCCCTGTATGCATTCTGAAGTGTTCAGTTCAAAATTAAATTTCCTATTTTCAGTTAATAATTCAAAAAGCAAACCCAAATTATGTCAGCATAGCAGTGCACACATGTTTTAGAAGTCCAGCCTGCATTTAAAGTGGTACTTGCAGACAGAGACAGGAATGAACAATTGCTTTATTCTACAGGGAGGGGAAACACAACCTTGTTCAAACCAAAACTGCAGGTGTTGGCAGACCTACACTAAGATGCAGATTCCAGTTTAGCCTGGGTCAATTGCACTGTCTACAAGACAGGGGGGTAAAGGCAACTGTGCTGACTCCCCCTGACACTCTATAACCAGTTATCTAGCTCACAGTCTAAACCACACCACTAGGAAACAAGACACTTATGTTGCAGTTCCCAAACCAGTTTTTAACTTAAACATAACAACCTTAAAAGAAAAAAGATTTGTTTCCTCACAGGCTATACCTATAACCTATTCCTACAGATAGTAGAAACCCTTCTTTAATCCCAATCTCTGAATTAAGCAGGGAAAGATTTGAACCAGAATCTTCCACACTGAAAACAAGTGTCTTAAATCAGGAATCAGGATATAACAGTTGAGCCCAAACTTACCATCTTTGTAACTCAGCTCTGTGCTTTTCAATAGACAAAACGAAAACCCCTCACTAGAGTAAAACAGTCAAATAATTTCTTTCCCCTTCCTCCCCAAATGTTGCCACAAGTCCCAAGGAAGAGTATTTTTGGATTTGGATCAACTCCGAAACCTATTTTTTCAGTTTGGTAATTGAAGAAATCTATTATTTTCACATTTCAGTATGCAAGTCAAACAGCTTCACATCCAAACTGGTGATCTGCATACCCACTTGTACTCACAGATCATCAATTCAGCATGGCTTCAAACTCTGCTTTTGAAGTTAAAATCTTATGTTTTCTAATGATGTATATGATAGTATACCAGTGCATTAATTATCTTTCCTTTTCAGCTCTTGCATAGGAGCTTAGCATTTTATCCAAAGTGAGAATTCCTAAACCAGACACTGGAACAAGAGATTTCTCCCCATCCAAAGGCACATCTTAGCTACTAGGCTACAGAAACTAGCTTCAGCTTGCTTGCTTTCATTCTGACCCCATGAATCTCATTGTCCTATAAAGTGACAAAGCTACTAACAGGGAAAGGAACAGACAGGAGTTCCCAACTTCTAGAGGCTAGAAGTCCTCCACAGGATTTAGACATTAGCATTTACACAATGAGTCTTGATGCCGACTGTAACCTCAAAGCTTCGTATCATTTTCCCCTCTGCAAACAACATAATTAATCATAATTTAATAATCTGAACATTAAACCATTTTGCCTTATCTCTTGCATGACACAAGCCATAAAATTTCATTACCTTATTTTTGCTCTGTGTCCAATAGCAACAGTTGACTAAACATCTTCTGGAGAGCCAGAGGGAAATGTTTAGTCAGGACTTCAGATAGTCACATATTTACTGAACACCAGGGTTGAAGCCTGCAGAATCTACTTAGTAGAACAGACCCTCTGATATGAGGCTGCCTGTATGACAAAGCAGCACAGCGGGTTCTGCATTCTCCACTTTGAATGAGACTAGCATTTATACTTCTACAAAAGGTTTCAAACAACTTTTAGAAGACAGGTTCCATTTGTACTTACAGAAGCCGCACCTGGTACCCCCTTCAAAGATGAATCCATTTGGGACAGCTCCATACCGACGCAGATCTGAGAGCTTCCATTGCCCCATGACACTAGGAGGAAGGTCTTTTACAAGGACGAGAATGTCATTGCAGAAATGCAGGGTAGCAGGCCCACTCTCTAGTTTAGTGCCAGGTGCTACAAAAACTTGAAATCTATGAACTATCAGATAAGGAAGAAAAAAAAATTACTATAGAAAACAGAAGTAAGGTACCATGACTTATGTTACATAAGTCATTTTGTTCAGCCGTGGTATGCGGACCGGCCTCTGCCCACACCACAGGGCTCGAGCATAAAGATTCTAAGTAGAGCCCAGACAGCCCTATGTGAGTAACTACAAGCTCATTACCCTTTAATATGCCAGTTTAGGATCGGAAAAAAAACATATCTTGGCTTAATGCTACAAATGATTAAGTTGTAACACTACATTAATTTATCCTAAGCCTTCGAGGCTACTCCCTATCTCAAATTAGCCAGTTATGCAGCCCATGTTTCAGTTACCTCTTCCATCTTTGCATCACCACATGCATTTCTTTCCGTATCCTCCTCTAAACAGCCTTTGCCTCCCCTTTCCTACATGCATGCACACACACAACACAGTGCTCAAGGAGCCCAAAAGCCAAGGCTGAAAGAAGTAGGCAAGTTCTAACCAGAGCTCTGTCACTGACTCATTTGCAACCTTTAATAAACTGCTTCGCTCCTCTAGCAGTAGAAATGGGGAAAATTGCATTTTCCCACCTTCGTGAATCTTTTGGGAGTTGGTGATGGTAGATGCCCAGACATTTAAAATTACTAGGAAATTAAGTGATTCACAGGTAATCAACATTCTTAGATGTCAGTTAATTCTTCATATTTCACAGCCTAAACTTCAAAAGAGTGGGGGAGAAAAGGAAACACCTGTCTCATTCAAGTTTACAAAATTCAAGTTCAAATCCCCACTCCAGCATCCCCTATATTGCAAGGGTCCTTACCTAAAGTAGCAGCTGTTCTAGCATGGTCTCCCATCTTCTCCAGATCTACTGCATTCTGGGAGCTATTGGGAGCACTGCAAGGACTTAAGTTTCACAGTGTTTCAAAGGGAGCAATTTAAGTGAGCAAGCACCTAATTCTCAAGCAACTGTTTTAACCTCCACTATTCCTCTAGATTCTTTCATTTTGTGATTAGACAAAAAAAAGAAAAAAAAAATAAATCTGTCTTGTCACAGAGAAGCATCAGGATTGTTACATTTCCAGTCAGAGGTTTTCAGTGGAGCATTTATGAAGAAGCACATAGATTTAGCTTTTGGTTATCCATCAAAGATCATACAAACAGCTACCTGCTTATGAAAGCTACAGGGGAACTTCCAGGTAGTCTCACTCCTCCCTGTTTCTTGCCTACGCTTCTTCAAGCATCATGAATTTCAGCTAGGTTTGAGTCTTGCTTCTCATCTAAATACTTGCTATATTCTTAGTTACCATCTTAGCTGTAAGTCAACTCCTCATCTGTGACGTACATTTGGTAAGTTCCCTAAGGCTCCAGCAGAATTAGCCACAAAGTCATTCCAGTGAAATGTGCAAGGAGACAGAGATAGATCTAACTACCACAGCTCTACTTACAGTTTTGCCATTAGTACTGCTACGGAGCAAATCAATAGTCACACAATGTCCCCTTCTGGGCACGCAGTTGTTACACAACCTGCTTAAACATAATCTATGAAAAACATACCAAAACCATCTTGATGAACAACGTTCACTAAGGAATCTTTACTACCATTTGGACCCCTCTGCCCAGTTAACTCTGCCCAGTACTTGGCTGGCAGTTAAACCATGGGAGCAGAAGCAATAGGGCTCTTTCTGCCCCATAAATGAGGAATGGAGTACACTCTTCACACAACCAGTTGCAAGTTACAACAGCTGTCGAAAACAGAGCTGCAGCTCAGATTCTAGACCACTGTTAAAAATACAGCATATCCAAATCTGAACAAAGCTAAAGCAGAGGAAAAACCAGATCTGGACACGAAGCTTTTCTCCCCAGACATCTACTTCTCCTACTCTGGAAAAAAAAAAATTATAATATACAGAGCTGAATATACCCATGAACAAAAGCTACTATCTAAGTTCCTCATCTCCCTTAGTTAATCTTTTCCTCTTCACAGCTATTCACTGGCCTGCAGTATGCTAACTTCCTAAAGATGAGTTGTGGGCTCAAGCACTCTTCTCACACCTGACCTACAACTCAACTCTCTTAACTCCACTGTTTTCTCTAATCCTGGTTCTTTTGTTACTCCAGGAATCACATCCTCCTTATCTGCTAAAAACAGAGAGAAACACTGTGAACTCCAGTGCAAATGCCTTCATTCTGTGGTCTTCATTCAAGAACAGCATCAATTCCTTTAACTTTTTTTTTTTTTTTTTTTGCTTCCCAGACTCTGAGGTCATCTGTCCGTAGTCTATTTTTATCATCCAGCCACCTTACTTCCAGGGCACACAAAGGCACCCTTACTACGCTTTAAGAAAAAATGCCAGTCGCTATCTTCTCTTCATCTAAGTCTCCACTCTTTTCTATTTCTGTCTACTTAAACTGGATTCACTTCAATTTGACTTCTTTCTCCTAACTGAACCAGCACTGAAGGATAAAATCCTGAAAAAATTTCCTATACTCTGGTCTATCCTCCTTACCCCAAGCTTTTTTGCCATTAACATTCTACAAATTATTGCCAGTTCAACCAATTATACTTGTTTTCTTACTTCTTCATTTCTTCACCTCCACACACATTCTCTCCCGCTCCATCTTTACTCCATGGTTGCACATATCATCATCCAATAGGCTCTATTCCTACCTCTCTCACAGTTTTCCTTTACAAATCTCTTTGCAGCTTCTGCATTTCCTCCTATCACAACCATAACCCTCAGACCCAGACTGAGATTAAATACTCTCTCCATCCCAGCACTGCGTCAGTGCAAGGTCGTGAAAACAGACCTACCCCATCAAATTCAAGTTCTCCTTCAGGTTTTAAGACAAGTCTATGCTGTACATAGGTCCCAAATCTAGTAAAGAAATAGAACCAGAACACAATACAGCTACATCAAAGTGTATCAACTACTCCAGCTACTCACGCCTGTATTGTTCAGAAACCCCATCTAACCTTTCCCCTCATTCAAGGCTTCAGATCTAATAGCTCCAAGTGGTACATTCACACATGTCTCTTCTGATACTTCTACATTTTATTACTGTAAAATTCCCAGACCATCTTTCTATGTAAGTATTGCAAAGGAACAAGTCCACAAATGCAACAGATGGCAAAGCATATGTAACAAACACTTAAGATGGCTAATGTGTGTCTCCCACACACCTACCCTCCTTCCCCAGTTATGACTAAACAAACATAAGACAGATACTATAGATTACCAATATTATCACTCTTTGTTCACCACTGTAAATTTTAGAGCTGCTAACCAAGAAAATAAAAGGATGCATAAGAGTGTAGTTAGCTGGAGAGACTGTGTTCGATGACACTCCTTATTGCAAGATCTCTCTTCCTGAAAGGGGACACTAGCGGCAATAAGCATTATCAATGTAACACCTAGTAGGCAGCTCACAAAACTGGGATTGAACTAGCCAAGTCCTACTCAGGACTCTGCCTCTCTTAATTCAGGCTCCCTCTGGATCCTGTTGTCAAAATCCCCAACTAAATTGCAGGACCAGAAGTAGAAGTCTGATCACTTTGCTTCAAAGATTCACACCTTCAGTGCCAAAAATAAAAAACTTAAGAGCTCTCATAGTTAATCATCAGGAATGGGCAGTACTGTCACCAAAACCTATCATAAGGGACACTTGCTTTAAGATGAAAGGGGAAGACCAGTCTCTTCACTATCAAATGAGTGACAGTCTTGTCCTTAACTGTACTTTCTTATTTGCATTTTAGCTATGCTTTTCTTTGCTTTTTCCCCCGCAAAGGGAGGCGGGGGGGGAGGAAAAAAAAAAAAAAAAAAAAGAGTGTGAGAAGACAAAGGTTACCTTCCCCCAAACTGTAGCGTATTCGTACATCCCAGGCATACATTGTTTCCTTGTTCTCAAATCCCAGCATCACAACTTGAGACAGACAGATGATTGCAAGCGTGTGATTCAAGCCCTCATAGGAGAGCCCAGGATCCAAGCCACAGATGTCTTCTAAGGTCATGCTGCTCCTCTCCTTATGCCCTTTTGCTCGTTCAGATTTATCCTTGTACACCAGCATGAGCAAACAGTCTAAAAGAAGCAAAACTGTCAGAGATGATGAGGCAGAACATAGAACATAACACATTTCTCAGTACTCTGCTTCAATACAAAGGTGCTTTAGACAACTGCAGGGTCATTCTGATCAACTCAATATAAGAACTCAGTTTCCTTTTCCCACCCCTCACCCAGGTAGTTTGCACTCCTTGTTTTCAGGAGTAAACATTGAAGGCATGTTTCAAAGGTAATATGCAGGCTCAGAAATAAGGAGACAAGTAAAAAGTCTTCCCTATTTTACTTTTCAAAATTCCAGTGGTTTTCCAGATACCCTCCCAAGTCTGGAAGGGGCTGACTCATTAATTCAGAACATTAGGAGTTATGCTATGATAGCTGTTCGCATTACAAACAGTAAAGACTGAGAGGCTATTGTCATCTATATTTCCATTAGAACATACTGAACCACAAATGAAATTCTTACAGTAGTTCACAGATTACTCAACTACTAAATGGCAAGCAGACTACACTGCCAGATTGTTAGTGTCAGCTCAGGTTTCCTAGTTAAATGTTACACAGTAGCCATTGCTAAATAACCATTATGTGCCACACCTTTTTTTTTTTTTTTAAATATTTGCTTGTGTCACCATTTGTTTTTAACCCCTTCCTAGAGGTGTTTATTACACAGTAACTATGCAATGGAAGAAAGTAATTCAAGTGCCATGGACCCATGGGAAAAGCACATTTCACAAGCAAACCCAAAAGACAAGAAAAAGGGGAGAGACCTCGCCTACCTTTTGCATTATATAACAAGAGCACTCCTTTTCCCCCCAGGTTCACTTCCTATCACATAGCACTTGTTTGTAAATGAAATTAATGGTCAATATCAAAGCTGCAACATCCACAGCTTAAGCTGACCTACATACCACAAAGGAGAAAGCCCCTTATGCACCATTTTATGAATGTTGGGGTGTGGTGCTCCAAGCCCTGGCAAGGAGCCCTGTGGCTCTCGGCTGAGCAAAGGACTGGCAAATCTCCAAAGATGTAAAAAAAATGACTGAAAGACTGAACCGTCTGCTAACTAAAGTGGAGCTTTGCATGGACTCCCAATTGTTTTCGTGCACCTGTTAGCAAAAACAGCTGCAACTACGATATTTAAGCATTCTGCAATACAGTTGTGTGTCTGAAGAAAGAACAACTATGGTTTACAGACCAAGAAAAGCAAATCACTGGGGGCTTTTTCCTGTAAACCTGGCTAATTCAGCTAGAATAAAAATACTATTTTTGAGGAATAAGCTACATTATCAGTCAGTAAGTTTTCAAAGCAAGCTCCCTCATCTTCCCCCTTCAAACTCAGCTTACTCATATTAGAAATCCAGGCCCATATTCAAGTCTAGATACTAGCTCTAGGATCAACAGATGCCCATTCACACGGAGAAGTTTTCACGGATTCAGCTGAGATATAGGCATTTAAGACACTAACACATAACTGTAACAACTCAAGTAGCAAAGACTTCGGTCTGAAAAGCTTCAATTACTAAGAAACCTTCAGTTTACCAGCAACAACCCAGAAGAGATGCCATAATCCATTCTGCAGCGATTAAGATTCAATTGTCTAAGTGTAGGCAACATTTAGCCCTGGAAAGATATACTTTTGGGTTCAAATGTTTTCCCTGTTAGGAACAGATGGGGAAACCTGAAACCTCCTTTTCCCTCTCCAGCAGTAAAACATCAACTCTGAATAAAATTTTCAATTTCCCCTTCAGAAGCATGGAAATGATTTTTTTAATTCAAAATGTCATTTTATTTTTAAATTGAAGTGATATTTTATGTCAAAACACTGATCAAAAATAACTACCGAGCTTACAATGCCAGCTTTTTTACAGCCACCAATCACCCTGAAGAAATAATAATGATTAAAAAAGAAAAAAAAAAAAAGCATTTTAAACAGGAACCAAAACCAAATAGCTGTGCCTCGAAAAGTCACCTTTCCCATTGGTTTAATCAGCGTCTGATACTAAGCTAATTAAAATCTTCGTTCCGACGCCGGACAAGAGAGCTAGCGCCTGAGGGGGCGGCGGGTCTATCCCTG